GAACAAAAAATTAAGAACTTGGTTTCAAAGCAGGAAGTGGACTCAGAAATGGGGAGTGCTAAGTAGATGAAAAAACAATGTGATTTTTATAAGGGATTCAGAGGAGGTGAAGTAGATTAGACTGCTGTGCACTAAATATTTGAAATGTGTTGGGAATTAGAAAAAGCACATAAACTTATATTCTGAAACACCAACTGCCAAGCTGCAGTGCTCAGCAGTTTCCAGCATGGACTATATATCAGTTAACCTTAAAGACTGTGATAATTTAGTGTTTTTCTTTAGTAAACTACATTTTGCAGAAACCTACACAGATTATACCATCAGCAGAGAACAGTTGCAAATCATCTTATAAATGTCAGAAGCCAGCCTAAAAGCACCTCAGCAAGATAGTAACAATTATCCACAGTTAATGGATAGCTGTGATTTCCTCTTTTTCACCCTCTTTTAGAGGGTTACAACAAAGAATGTTACATCCCAATTATGCTTATGGACCTTCTGGATAAAAAAAAAGACCAAAATCAGATATCTAAGACATGGCATAATATCCTTTCCTTACACATAGGAAATACTCATCAGCTAGGTCCACAGGCTTAGCTGCAGAGAAAAACAGAGTGGCAGGGAGAGAAGCAGCAAATTAGCTACCCTGTGATTTTCACTTTGTTACCATTTCCCAATATAATGAACTATTTGTGTTTTAACATACTCAATAATAAGAACTTATACTCATTTTGCTGGTATGAACATGAAGCAATGTCATATCAATGGTATTGGGTCAGCAGGCAGCATCTCTCCTTAGTGATGGGTGAGTAACTACACTGGAACAAATGAGTTAATATTAACTAATCGGCAACAGAAAGATGGTTCTCTTCCAAATAGCTACAAAGTGATAAAAATCAACAAGATTTAATATCGTCCACAATTTCAATTACGTTCTAATGCTCCAAAAGTAAGTGAAAGGCATTTACATGTCAACCCCCATAAATATTTCAGTTATGACTGAAGCAGGCTTGACTCTTCACATCATCCCATCAACAGCACTGAATAGACTTATACTAGAAACAGTATAAAACCAGGCTGAAGTTAAAAAATGCAAACTAAACATCGATCCCAACCCTAGTCTGTAACCTAGGGTTACATTAATTTTGAACCCCTATTGAGGTCTGTGATTTGCCAGTCTCCTGCATTTATAGATATTAGAAAAAATTTCTTCACTGAGGGAGTGATCAGGCATTGGAACAGGCTGTCCAGGGAAGTGGTGGAGTCACCATCCCTGGAGGTGTTCAAGAAACATGTAGATGCGGTGCTTCGGGACATGGTTTAGTGAGTTAGGTGGTGTTGGGCTGACGGTTGGACTTGATGATCTTTGAAGTCTTTTCCAACCTTAATGATTCTATGATTTGTGCGCACAAGGCATGACTCAGCATCCAACTCCATGTACCACTTCTTCCTCTCGTGTCACTGGGAAGAGCAGTGCTGCTGTTGATCCTAGACCTTGCCTGCAGCAAGGCAGAAGAGTTCTAGCCATGACAAAGATTCAACTGTCTGAAGATTTCAGCTTGGATACAGCCAATTATCCAAGCATCCCAAGATATCTATGTTAACACTGCTTTGATGCTTCCAGTCACATAATCTGGAATAAAACCACAGACCCTTTTGTTTCAGTCTTTAACTAGATATCAGAACTCAAATGGAAGAGAGGATGGTATTTGCTGAGTGGTGAATATGTTGGTTATAGCTTGTTGTTTGATCCCTCCTGGACATGCTGAACAGCAACAGTATTGGAATTTAGGAAGACAAATGCTCCTCTTCAAACTCTTTCCTATTTGCTTGGTCATATTAGACTGATTCTCCATGGACCATACATAACAGAAAATGGGAGGAATAACCTGAGGCAATTAGCAGTTACTGTGCTGAAGGGGAAAATCAGGTAAGAAAGATTGAAACAAATACAGCTTGCTCAAAACAGTCATTTTCTGATGACTTAGCCAGCCTGTTGTTTGCCAAAGGCTCTCAAACTATAAAACTAGGATCACTCCTGTCTTCTACTACAAAGCAGAAGCAGCCCAGAAGCATAACAAACCCTGGACTGACATCCTATCAGGGCATCACTGGCACAAGGATTAACACTTTCCTAAACAAGTTAAATAGCAGGTTTCTTCAGCCTAGTTTTTACAGTAGAGAGGAAGATTTCATTTTACATAGTCTAAGGACAGTGCACCACTGCCCTTAATACTGCTCTGATTTAGCGATAGGGAAAACTGTAGAATGGATCACTGAGATTTTCCCTTCCCTTTCCTTGTTCAGCTACTCTTTGAAAGTGCCTTTCAACGACAAACTGGTGAATTTTTATTTCATCTCTTGCTCAGTGGGACGAAGGCAAAGGGCAGCTCCTCTGTCCCTCCTGGAGAGAGCAGCACTGCAAAGTCAGCAGTGAGATCGAGCTGGAGGGCCATCATGGGATGGGAATTTGTGATCTTCTGGTCCAGGGCTATGAGTTTGACCAACCGACCCACGCCCAAAGGGACTCAGTTAATTTTTCACAGATTTTACTGAATCAGCAAACCCCAGCTATAGGTAAAAATATCTAAAGCGTATTCACAGGTATATCTTTAGCCTAGGTCATGTAGAGACGCAAGTGAAGGTTGGGAATCCTTCTGTAACTTCATGAATTCTGATATTCTTGAACTACAGACAGACAGATGATGCCTTCCATGGACTGAGGGGTGACCTAATTAATGTTTATAAATACGTGAAGGGTGAGTGTCAGGAGGATGGAGCCAGGCTCTTCTCTGTGACATCTAGTGATAGGACAAGGGGCAATGGGTTCAAGCTGGAACATAGGAGGTTCCGCTTGAGTATGAGGAAAAACTTCTTTACAGTGAGGGTGACAGAGCACTGGAACAGGCTGCCCAGAGAGGTTGTGGAGTCTCCTTCTCTGGAGACATTCAAAGCCCGCCTGGATGCGTTCTTGTGTGATCTGATCTAGGTGTCCTGCTCCGGCAGGGGGATTGGACTAGATGATCTTTCGAGGTCCCTTCCAATGTCTAACATTCTGTGATTCTGTGATTCTGTGACTGCATAATGGTTCTGAGCCCCATTTACACAGGAATCCAAAAACACACACACTGAATGAAAAATCCAGCAGCAGTACCACCACTTAATACTGCTGTGCACACACAACTGTTTAGCGACAGACAGCAAAATAGGAATATACCTGCAGCGCCCCGCTATGACAGCTGTCACCCAAAGGTCTCATTGCGGCAGTTGCAAATATGATCTTTTTTAATTATAAAGATGCTGTAGAAAACCACTGTAAATCAAAGGCATGCTACGTACAGCACAGCACATACTTGCTGCTAGCAACAGAGCTCAGAATTATTCTTCTATCAAGTGGCAGAACTCAAATCTTTTCATTCCTGGCTTGAGCTTTGCTTTCTCTGAAGCAAAGATTTCTTCTTCTCTGCTTCTCCCCAGGAGGCACCTCATACAAACCCTGAAGAACCTTTCCATACCACAAGCATGAAGAACACAGTGTGGGGAGTACAGAGGCATAAAGTGTCATGTTTTCAATGTTGTGCTTGATTTCTATAAAACCCACCAGTCCCACGAGGATAGTAAGTTCTGAGGGGCACTAAATACAATGCCAGAGGCAACCTGGAAAAGGTCCTGGTAGAAATGGCAGTTTTGGAGGACTCTCAGGAAAAAAAAAATTACAAAGGGTACCAAGTCAAGGTGAGCTGAGAAGTATGCAACCAGGAAAACTTTCCAATAAAAGGCACTCCTTCAGAACACAATGTTTTGTCTGACTGCTTTATCAGGAAATCAATTTACAACTGCTTCTTATTACTCTGAACTGAAAAATGACAGGAGTGCAAAGGCTCTAAAGCAAGGAGAGGAAGGTCGGCAGAGTACAGCAGTCCTCATTCACTAAAGAATTAAACATTTTCTACTTTTGCATTTTAGAGAAATCCTGCCTGTTAGTTTCTTTCCCTGAGGGTGTTTTTTGGTTTTGTTGTTTTGATTTTTTAACAGTACAGGTTTCTGCTACGCACAACTAACGCAACCTTGTGCTAGTTACGCAATGCTTTGGAGCAGTCTGATCTATACAATCTTTTTCATGGCCAAAGCTCTCCAGACAGACATGCTTAAAATTGCTATTTAGGACAAGCCTGTTGCAGCAAGGAGTACGTGTCTTAGATTTCAAAGCAAGGACTTGAGTAACAAAGCCATCACAGACATATAGAGAAATTCATATGGCGCTTTCCAAGATTTAGTTCAAGCTTGCAACGTGCACCATGTAAATTAAAAGATCCAGCTTGGAAGTCCATCTACAAAGATTGACTTTAAATACAATTTGAATTGATCGACTTCAAATGTTACCATCATGTCCCTTTATTTTTATTTTACTCCAGAAGAATACTTTCAGTTTTTCTCCGACAAAAAGAAAATGCAGTTCATCCTTCCCTTTGCTTCTTCCTCTGCCCCAGCTTCTTTCAGCAGCATGGCCTCTGCCCATTTTCTCCTGTTCCACACCAGTTCCCAGTTCTCCATTGTGGCCCCAATTTCACCACTCAGTTTTCACATACAATTCTGTTTGAACACGGGCTTTGTGTTCACCACTACATTTCCCATCCTTACCCATACAGACAGAGGGAGCACAGTGCCCCCAGCGTGCTCTGCAAAATTACTGAACATGCACTTTTCTACTACAGAATCTCAGCCTCTCCCAGAATGAGCAAGGAATCCTGGGAAGTCGCTAAACAGTGGCCTATGCTTCCAGATAGCTCCAAATCCACTTAAACAGCTTAAACAGTCTCAACTTTTTTCCTCCCTGCTTCAGCACATGAAAATCCTGTCTCTTCATACTTGGGAGACTTAGTATCCATTTGTTCAACTGTCAAGATGGGTCAACGTGTTTGCTTGCTACATCTCGTGTTTCCTACATTTCTTCACCAGGTCCATATTGTTTTCCCAGTAGCAACACTGAAAGGCTGACTCACCTCTTTGTGCGAATCCTTATGCGCTTCCAGTGTTTTCATGATGGTCAACTCTGCATAGTTCTTAAACCTTGCTGGCTGGTTCCGCAAGATCTCTCTCAGGACTCGCAGTGCCAGGGCTCTTATTGAATGCTGTGTCAAGAGAAATCCACATTACAAAAAGTCACTTCTCAAAACTGTAGTTTGAAGTAAATTCTCATGGCCCCCTATACCACCAGAAATCCTACATCACTCTACCAGCTCCAGTGGAGTGAGCAGTGTAATCAATATAACTAAAACTCAGAATTGGTCTCCTTGCTTGTTTTTGCACAAAAATTCACATAAAGTGACTGTTGTCATAGATACAAGAACGAGAATGACTCTGTTTTGTTCAATTCCATACTCTTTTAGCAATGAAGTATAAATTCGTACCCAAAGCAGCACGAGTGTTACGGGAATCTACAAAGCAGCTCAGGTCATATTTGGTTTGCCCTTCCTTTTTTTGCTTAGCTTTGTGGGTATCAAACTGGGCTCCGTCCATGCAACAAACCTGTTTCTCACATACTAATGCAGTAAAATTGACTCTCTTCCTGTAACTCCTATGGAAATTGCTTTCAAGAACAGTCAGGTCAGTGCTGACTACAATGGCTATGTGTTAATCCTTTATACCAAAGTATCATTAGCAGAAAGTATTTAACACCTGCTTCGATTTCGTAACTGTTATATTAAGTTTTTGGCCTGTGGCCACTCCAAATAGATTCTATCATTTCAGCAGAGGAATACTTACTTTACTCTGGACTCAGCCTTTAAAGTCCTTTGCTATTCATCTGCAAAATTCATGCAGCAGCACAATTCACATGTATTTAGATACTTTCTGATACATGGGTGATGATGCTACGATTAAACACGTAGGACCAGAGTAGCTAATGCTTATACTACAAACGACTGAGAAAATGTCAAGTCACCTACACTGCTTCAGAATTTAAACTTTTAAAACTTCTGAGAGCGTGACATAGACTTTACAAGGAGTATAAGAAATACAATGGATTTTGAATCAGATGAAATAAAAAGGAAGAACTTCGAGTGCTTTGAAGACTGAATATTGTAAAATTCAGATGGAGCATGGCTCTGATGTGAAGGTGCAGCAGGGTGCTCAGCCTTTACTGAATGTCATTATGCTGCAAGGTGAACAAATAGCCCCAAGTGGAAAAAGTCTAGCTTGTAAATTACCATTTTGATCAGTTATCAAAATATAAAGCTGTGATAATAATGCACCTTTTTTAATACTTTAAAACAAGATCCCCTATAAAAGCAGTTTGTTCTTGATGACATTTTTGCAAGAGACAGAGATCCATGCCATCAGATCCAACAGCATGGATCTTTAAAACACACAGAGAAAAAAAAATAATCCATTTTCCTTTTTTTGGAAATGGGTATGATATAGTTAAGAACTTGTAACTTCATCCTAACTTGGAAGAGAACAACTTTTGAAATCTTCATATCTTTTGTACAAGATAATGTCTTTCCTGATTCTAGTTCCATTTCCTAGTTACTTTTTATTAACACTCCAGAGGAAGGGGGAAAACCTGGGACACCTCAGAGTTGCTCAAAATTGATCACTGAACACACTGAAAATGAAAGCAGAGTTGTCAACCTTCAAAAGAAAAAAATGAGCAGTGCAGCATTGTTGATGAGATGCTGTACAAACACAGCAGGTTTCTTTTTAAATAGTGCGGAGGAACTATCACCCTAGATGAAGCAATGTACAGGAGAGTTAAGACAAAAATCTACATCTCACATCTTTGTCTCCAAGTGTTTCCAGTAGCAAGAGCAGAATGGTTTTAAAGTGTTCCTCCCAAACTCCAAGATTATCTTCCCTTGTGATCTTCAGCAGTTCCAGGAGGGCTCCTTTCCGCTCCTCCACCCGCTCGTTGTGGTTGGAGAGCTCTTTCAGAAGGTCGGCCACCAAATCTGAATGGTCAATGGGTACTTCTAGGACAAATGGCAGCAAATCATTTGTGGAAGTGGGGAAAAACATCAAAGATACCAAGATTACTAACCCTCTACAGAACAAAGCGCATGTAACAAGGGGCCCCACAGAAATGCATCAAATCCCAGGTGGCCTCAGTCAAGCAGGGAAGAAAATCCGACTAGCCCACAATTTCACCTGAGTTCATAACACAGCTCATGAATCTGCACATGGCTTCTAACGAACCAGGAAGAATCATAGAATGGCTAGGGCTGGAAAGATTGAATTTCATCCAGTTCCTATAACTACTTCTACAAGATGAGAACTGACAGTTTTTCTCAGACACACACACCCAAAACCAGCGATCACACGTATGACCTTTAGATCACAGTACGGTGACTCATCAGCGTAGTGCAAAGGAATACAGCTAGAGTACAGCACCACTGAAGCAAAATGCTCAGTAACAATGAGCTATTGAGTGAGATGTTTCAGCCAAAAGATTGGAACGTCCCCAAAATAGTGTCCCTACAGACACTTCTAGATTCTGGGGGGGGGGAAATATCGAACTGCAGTATAACATCTTCTCAATAACCACAGACCACGTTCTGCTGGTACATGACAAGACAGAGTATTTCACACCAAGCTTCCACTCAGGTGCAAAGTAATACACAACATATGTACGGGCAGGCGTGTATCTGAGAGCACTACCCACACACAAATATACCAAAAAGAGCAACCTGCCTGCAGTTTTATGAGATACGCTGATACAAACCATCTCGAAGCTGATCCATGTCATCATCGAACACTGCTTCCTTCAGCGCAGTCTTGTCATAGGTGTTAATTGTGTCAGCATAAGAATAGGGGTTATATTCTCGAGCACGTGGACCCGAAAAGGCGCGGGGAGGCTGAGTGTTCAGTAGGGAGGTTTTGTTATCTAGAGCCATCCTTCCACCTTCCACAATGTCACTGCTTCCATGGACATCACTGGCAGGCACAGCGAGGCCACCATCTCGAGACACCTGGGGGATCAAACAGACAGAAAAGACCTCACACTACTCAAATTCTGAGGAAGATGTAGCTTTTTTGGAGTTCACCCACCAATATAAAGAGGCACAGAATTGTTTACACATACATAATACTTGAGTAAAACTTAGACTACCACCTCTTTTTTTTCCCTTATATAACTACAACTGTTCCAAAAATATCTCATGATCACGGGGCAAAAAGCTATGCTAACATTCCTAAATCTAAGTTAACGTTGCTAAAACTTCACAAACTGGCAAAGATCATAAGCTCTGGAATAGGACCAATTAAGGGAAAGGGAAGGCTAAGAAATGGAAAGAAAGCAAAAGCAACATCTTCCTCACGAAAATTCACAGCCCACTGACTGAGGAGACTGGATAATGGTTAGCAAGATAACATGAAACAAACAGCAGAATGGTCCTGAAGAAAAATCTCAACCCAAGAATTTTTAGCTTTGAAAGCTAACTTATCTACTAACCTAAGCTTGTTTGTTCAGATAGGAAGCAAAACTGTCAGAATATCTCAAATTGGAAGGGAGCCATAAGGATCATCGTTTAAGATGCCCATAAATTTTGAAGCCCATGTATTTAATTAAAACAAATGGCATCTCACACACTAGATAATTCTGTAAGCATTCATGCAGCATAAGGTACCATACGAGTTGTACACTCAGAGTGATTAGACCTTCCTATATATGAAGTAATAAGCCTGTGAGGGAAACCACCCATGCATTTTAAGAACGAACATCTCCCATTACAGACCTCACTACACACACTCTATTAAAAAGCCATCACTGAGCCATGCTGAGCCTGAGGAACACCAGCACTGTTTCCTTCATACATGAGACTCCCACAGAAAACAAGGGAGCACCTTTCACAGGAGGCTGGAGTTCTAAGGGACTACATTAGTGAGGCCCCATAATTTAGGTACAAGAAGTTAGCAACCAATAAGCTGAAGACACTTGCAGTAGCAGGAATAACTGGATTTTGTACACTACCAATCCAAAGCCAGGTCTGAACGCAATGTTTCAAAATTTCACCTATCTGGGGGCATTAATCAATTGAATACTTACAATGTCACAGTCTTTCTTTCCATCACGTTTGATTGGCTCATTCAGGTCCTCTTGACTCCGGAAACTAAATTTTTCAATCGCTTCTGTGACTCCACGAAGAGAGCTGTAGATTTCATCAGAATTTAGGTTCTCCGTGTCATAATCCAGCATACTAAAGACCAAACGTATATGAAACGTTACATATGAAACTGGAATCCACTTTTGACTGTTAACAAAAACAATGCCTAGTCAGAGACAGATGAATTGGCATACCCTTTCTAGCAGTGACTTGTAACAAAACACAGGTGGAATCAAAGCAGACTTCAGGTCTGAGTCTCCTCTCAAACAGGGCCAAATCTAGGAAAAGCTCCACTGCAATCAGTGGTGTTACATGCTGTGAGGGGAAATTAGGTCCACCATTTGTTACATTCCACAGCAGTGAGTATGCGAGCTTCTGTAAATCAAAATCCTTATCCCCAGCATGGTAATGGTGTTATTTAAAAAGGAAAATAAAGAAATTCCATCACTATGAGAACTCAAAGAGTTGTGACAGCTGGTGGAAATTGAATCAATGAAATTTAAGTTTTGTAATATATCAAATATATTCTGTCAATGGATTCAAATGTGACAGATTTAAATGGAAAGGAAAATGTATCTTGATGTAAACCTTAGTCTAAATGTCCCATTTTCATTTATAGAGTAGTAAAACCAAAGCCACTTGGCACAACACCTTGATAAAAGATTCATTTGAGTATTCAGCCTAAGTTTGTGAATTCTCTCACTCAAATCTGATGCTTTCTTGCAGTCTGTCTGTTCCTCTGAAATTTCTCAGCAGCATAAAGCCACACAAGTTTGGGGATTCCTTGAGGAGTTATCCAAAATTAAGTTCCATGAAAACATGCCTGGCATGCAAGGGCAGATGATATGAAAAGATGTGGCTAAGAAGAGAAGCTCCTACAAGCTCAGAGAAAATGAAAAGGCATTATTGGCAGGGCTTTGCTCTATCTAGGAGAAGTTGAGTTTGCAAGACAATTAGTTTTCCAAGGGAGTTTTCATTAAGAGACCCAGTAACTGAGAACAAGTTCTCCGGGGGAGTCTCAGATCTTAGTAGAGCCAGAAGCAAATAAACCAGAAGAATCTGAAACATGTACATCAAGTTTTTTGTCAACAAATGGCAAGAAGTGGCTCCCTACAGGGGTGAATTACTATTTTTTAACAGTTGGGGAAGGATGACAGGATGGGCTTGGAGGAGGATGGCTGAAAAAGAGCTGCGTTCCTTTTCCAGTAAAGAAAGAATCCCTGTGAGGTAGGACAGGGGGAAAAAAAAACAAAACACAAAAATCCCTTCTCAATCCTGGGTACACAGCTATTATTTTCAATAGATCTAGAAGCAGAAGGTTAAATATCTAGAACACTACTTTTTCTCCTAGAACTACAGACAGAGGATAAAATCGGTGTTGCCCAATTCCTTTAAGATTAACACACTGAAAATAGCCATAATCCCTGGCTCCCAAGCAACGCACTCACTCTACGATCACACAAGCATCAGTACCATGTATTCTGGCAAAGAAACCAAAGAACAACGCCCCAACTTTAAACAGTGTCTGTCAGGCCACGAAGAAAGAGACCACTTAAACTTTAACAGACCAAGACCAGGAAATAAAAGCCATTTATAAACCTATAGATGTCCAAGTATTTAGGGCTTTTCAGACAGCTGAGTAACACTAATGCAACGTGATGGCTTTCCAGACAAAAGTGAAGGCAGATTTTAGATTCCTTGTAACTATCAGGCGGGGATAGGACAACCTTTGTTTCATATGATCTCAAAAACATTAAATGTGCTTGAGCTGAAAATTAATTCATAGAACTTAAGGGATTCCTCATACAATATTTAAGTGAGCATTGAAACTGCCATTCGAGAAGGTATATACGTGACTGTACCCACACCAAGAGATGACATGACTTACCAAAGGTCACACAATGAAATCCATGGCAAAAACCGAAAAATAATCACCAATATACTAACACTAGATCTTCTGCTAAAATCATCGCTTCTTTCCTCAGGGATTATTTTTGCCCTACATTACTACTAAAGAATAGATAAAAGTACAGACTTTGCAATGCTAAAGGACTACAGTGATTTCTCAAAGAGCCACCAATCTTACACATTTTTCAAAGCACAAAACCACATTTTAATAAAAATCTAAAGAATCCAGTGATATCATATGTCAAGAATAAACCTCTGTAGGAGATCACATTATGGCTGTGTTCTACATGAACGAAAACTCTACATGTGAACACACACATCTATTGATAGTATGTGTGCTGGAATACTTCACAGACAACATGATGGAGGAAATAAAATAAATTGGAACTACACCCACCTTTCAGGAAAAAAAAGGTACAAAAGGAAAAAAAAAAAACTATGACCCATGCAGAAAACTAGAGGAAAGTCACAGGATGAATAAGAAGTGAGTAGAGATGAGCAGCGTTTAGGGATGTCACAACATTATTTTCCATCCTCTGCTGCACTAGAACAATGCAGCTCTCTACAAGTTTATCAAGATAAAATTTGGCTGTTTTCCAGTCTGTCATGAAATACATTTTACTTCCGTAACTATTAATTCAGTTTCCAATCCAAACTAATAATAATCAACAGTTTAGCATCCTCAAGCAGTACACAGTAACCCATTTCCTTGCACTTTCAGGCTCTGGGCTGGAACGTATGTCAAACTATTCCACACCTTGGTGTCAGCTAAAGAAAAAAGGAAAAAAAAAATTCTCAACTAGCTTAACTCCAACATGCATCTCTTCCACAGATACCTTAGTGTCCTAGAAGAATCAGAACATTGATTTAAATTTTTAATTCTGCAAGAATGCAGAGAGGTATGGACTATGTGATTCTCCTTTCTCTCTCAGACATCAAATTCCCAGATTTTAAGCCCTCAAAGAACAATTTGTTTGCTTTTCTTTCAATAGTTTTTCATTAGTAACTTCTTGCTTCAAAGAAAGACTATATATAGTCCTTCCTCAGCTAGAAGGTATATTCACATCAGGAGAAACCACATCTACAGAAAGCCTGTTGTGAGGGTATAAACTTTAAAAAAATCCAAGGAATTTAAACAAATGTCTGACAAATTAAACTGGTATTCAGAAGGTTTTTTTGATTAAAACCAGTACATGGTTTTAGTCCAGTACACTGAGAAAAGATGTGTATGCAGATTAGAACAAAATATGAGGGCACAGGAGGAAGAAGAGATGTCAAAATTAGCCGACAATAACCTCTAAATCCTGTGGCACAGACAATTTTAATTTCAATACTACAAATTGCCAAGATGTTCCACAATCACACTGTGCAAGCAGCTGGTAAAATCATCCTTATTGTCCTATGGTTATTCACTACCCCAGATGTGAAATCACTACTGAGCTGTATGTGCCTGTTTGGAAACACTCATGTGCCGCTTGCATGGTGTAGCTAAATTGAAAGATCTTGCTCGTGCTGTCATAACTCAACCCGTGCCTGTCAAAAGTGCTCAGCAACTGTGTTCTGCGGTGGAAACCAACTGTGAAACGCACACCCATTCAGGAACCTGGCAGGGAAGGAGAATCTGGAAAAAGCCATTTTTCCCCCCCCACCTGCAAGCTGCACCTTCCCCAAGCAGCAAATAAGTGGCTGCCCGCTACCCCTGCTCTCTGAAAGTTATCATAATCTCTTTTCCTTTTTCAGCCAAAGCTTCTGCAAATCATCTCCCACATTTGAACAAATCCCACAGTGTGAAAGGTAAATAATACTGTGACACCTCAGACAAGTTGGTTTAACAGGTAGCTTGTTACCTGGGAGAGTAAGAGCGTCTGAAAGTCTTGTGGGAAGGAGCAGTGGGGATGGAGTTAGGCTGAGAAAGGGGAGGGGGGTGCTTCGACAGCCCATCTGCACTCCAACCCCAGAGCCGACTGCCGTGATCAGAGGAGAAACAAAAGAGAGAAAACAGAGAAAGGAGAGGGAGAAAAAAAAAAAAGAAACTATAATCTGAGTGGCTTAGTGCTGTCATGCTGCCTTGGAGAGAGAGGAAAAAAATTAATAGAAACAAAATTAAATGAGAATACTCCATTAAGCCCCATAAGTCATTGTTCTGCCCTTTATTATTAATCTCCATTTTTATTCCTAACAAAATGGCATGGTTCACACAAAAATAGTCCCTGCTTGTACTAACCAGTAAATTTTACAAATGGATATAGTCTCTAGAAACAACACTTAAAATTCTCTAAGTGAACAACCCCTTCCCACACATCTGTATTCAAACTCTAAGCGGGTATTTGCAAGCAACAGGATTTCCCTGGAAGAAAGGAAAGTTGGATTTGATTTTATCAGACATCCAAGGTAGCTTGCCAAATTTGTCTCCTAATGCCTCTATAAGAACCTGCAATCGGGCCCTACACCATCAGCAAACCTTTGCAGGGCTTAAGATCTGATCTTATTTCAGAAGAATCAAACCAGAATCAAACTGATCTCAAATACGCAGCAAGCAAAAGTCAGTCTGGAGTGTAAATATATCATGCAAATTGGGGGCTTGGCCCAGGTCTCAGCAGACAAACCTGGATGAAACCAACCTCTAAGTCAATTCAGGCCTCTCATCAAACTTCCACAAGCCCCTTCTGGTTACTGCTTGATCCTGTGGCTTTGAGTTGAGGCATCCATCCCTGTGCCAGTTTGTCTAACCTTTGCTTTTGTCCTGTTCCCTTTATGGTACACAGATTTTCAAAATCATCTTCTAAATGAGAATACAGATGCTTGAGCTAGTGGAGTATTCAGGACACTGCTTTGTTTCTATTAGGTACATTGCCTTGGAAAGTCGCATTTGTGTATACACAAGTGAAAGATATTGCAAGATCAGAAGCGGCAAACCAGTCAAGAATTGCTCCAGTGCAAATAGCAGCAAAGCCAGTTGAAAACTCCTCTGAAGAGTGGTTTCGAGAAATTCACTTGTTAACAGCTATGGGTTTTGATTGCTGGTTATGTGCAACTATTACAGAAATACACCAGACACCCAGACTGCTGACCAGAAGTCTTACAGCTCGGGTCTCACCTACATGCAAACAGGCCACCAAACAATGCAGGCTTGTCCTGATTGTATAAGGTGGGTGGCTTATTTGAATTATTTTTCCATGCCCTGCCTTGCTTAATGAACACGTCAGATTTTATTTTTAATGGTATTTTCTATTGTCAGTGGAAAAACCTGCACATAAGCTTACATAGCCAAATAAAATTGTTAGCTTTTTATTTTTATGCACTTTGTCTAGAGATCTTTTAAGAACTAAATTTATTTTTTTAAATAATTGGAACTAGGCACAGGTTTCTGGGCTACTAATAAAGGCAGAAGCAGTAGGGCAAACCTAGTCATTCGATATTCCTTCAAATATTCCTAGAATTCTAGACGAAAATTCACAACTTGAATGTAACATAAGTTTACAGAAGTTCATTTGTCATTCAGAATGGTATTCTTATACTAGAGGACTTAACAAATTAGTATTTTCCTTTTTGTTGTACTACATCATTTACTAAATCTCAAAAGATATTTTCTGTGTCCAACACAAACTCAAGCCATTTATCTGAGTATTGCCCAAGAAACATTCTTTCCTCTCAGTCAGAAGTCTGGGTTTTCTATTATTTTCAGTCTTCCCAAGTGCCCTCCCCTGCTTTTCTTCTTCAGAAAACACCTCTTTCCTCCATAACTCAGAGACAAAAGATAAAACTGTGAAGCTAAAAAAAAGCAGGTACAAATGCAGAAGTAACTCACAGATGCAGTGGATATGTCCTAGTGATCATGAAGCAGAACTGGATGGAGCAAATGAAAGTAGGAGAAGGAGGGACTCTGCCAAGGCCCTGAGAAAGAACATTACCCTTCTGAAAACACTAACATCAGTGGATACTTAAGCAGATGTTATGATCTGGATAGGTAAATTAGCTATTCACATCAGCAAAGTCCAGTTCAACCTGAACATTCAAAATCTATCCAGAGCATTTAGATACATGCACACACAAAATACACACACACAAAAGGGAAAAAAAAAACAGAAAACAGTCATCTGGAATTCAGCTATGATGGCCATAACATGGGAGAAGTAACGGGACCTTCATTCCATAGCAATGAAGCCCTGCTGATGACTATTGAGGATATTGTTGACAAACCGTAAGTAATACGTGAGAGCAGCTACGCTTAGCAGCATTTTTGTATTCCTACAGGACTCAAACTAGCCTTTCAACACATATCCCAGCCCCAAAGACATATACACCTCTATATATGACTCCTCCAATCTGTGCATCAAGAAAAAATTCCAAGGAAAGTATAATCTTCAAAACCAAAGGTGGCATTAAGAACTGGAGATCATCCTTCAACTGACTGAACTCGGGCTGCCCGCTCAAGACACAGGCATGGACCAGGCAAGCAGGGCCCACACATGGAGCAACCCAGGAAGCAATGGTCATACACAACCTCAGTACAACCCTTTGGCAATGGGTCCCATAAAAATTCAAAGCCAAGCCTAGTTTCAGAGGGCTGCACAAAGAAACTGTGGGAATCTTTATCCTTTTACACTGCTACCAGAATGACTCGGGTATGCTCATTCTCCAAGTTTGTAGAGAGAAAAGTGACATTTTACAACACTGACGAATAGCAAACAACAAGCATTTGTAATGGAAACATGACGCAGAAGCATCTATACCAACAACTGCAATACTGCAGTGTACCCTACTTCCATAATCTGTTAGCACATCTTCCAATGCCTTTTTTCCAAAAGGACAACCACATGGACTCTTCAGAGCTAAATTTTCCCGTGTTCTGTAAGTCAGGACCATGCTCAAACTGTGTTACACATGATATTTTCAAGAACAATGCAGTCCAGCAGAGTATCATAAGCTATTGCCACTGATTTATATAGTACTTGCCACCACATTTTCTACAAATGCTTAAAATCTGCAGCTACTGTTACTGCTCAGAGGTCACTCACCAAACAAGGTACAACTTCTCCCTTTAATATTTTAGAGGGCTTTTACAGCAGCTTCCACCTTCACTTCTCATTGAAGAGTAACTTTTACACATCACTCTTGTATAACTAAATCCAGCAAGGATGCAGGACACACTTCTTGAAAAGACACCTAAATTTTTGGATCAACATTTCCAAGAACTTCACAGAAATTTGAAAGAATGATTGTTTCCTACAGGAAATTCCTGGCCCACTGCATCAGTGGCAGTTTTGGTCTCAACAACTTAATGGCAGAATGCTACAGAATTACATGTCCTCTCTAACTATTCCTTGAGAACATATCACACAGGGGAAAAAGCCTCCAGTTCCTAAACCCAAAATGCTAGAAAACAACAGTAACAAAGTATTAAGTGCATGCTGAATGCTTTAATCGGTATTTTGATATGTGCATCCTGACATCAAGAGCTGAGAAGAATGCAATGTCAAAATGAAAAGTAGCAAGTGAAGTGGCAAAACACAGTTGTGTCCCAATGGCAAAACTCAAAAAGCACGGTAAAAGGTCATGGATTTATAAAATAAGTGCCACATGCAAAACGGGCCAGCAAAGCCACAAGATAACCACAGGGAGACATATCTCAGTTTATAATTTCCCATGACAGAAATCAGCAGGGCAACAATGCTCGAACTAGTCAAAAAGGAAACAACATAGCTGGAACCATTCCACTGAAACTCTATCACTTAATTTCTTAATGAAACCTTTGTTGGAAAAAATAATAGGCAACTCGACCTTGGCTTGCAACCTCTCAGTCTAGTTTTGGATTACAGCAGATTTAGCAGTCACAAAGACATATTTAGGTATCCAAAATTTTCTCAGAAAACCCCATGTGCTCTTCCTATGCTGCTGGAATTAGTATAGCTACTCAAAAAGCCTGTGTTTTTCCCAACACATGTGAACTCACATGTCTAAGTATCACTCCAGACAGGATTTAGCAAGTCACAACAGGGCTGATCAACAGATTTCGGTATAAATTAACTACACTGGACTACGAACTGTAGTCCTCACTCAACACATTTCCTTCTGTCTCTTCCATGACAAAGGGAAGTGACCTCCCATGCAGACAGCAGGCAGACAAGAGCAGCAGCTTTTAAGCTTTCCCAGCATGAATCAAAGCTTGCCCAGGTAACAACCTAATACTTCCCTCCAGCATTTCTATGGTCCCACAGCACACTGCTTAAATTCCTATCTCCTCTGTTCTAAGCTTTTATAGTGTGAAACATGTACATTCCCACTACCCAAGAGTCCATGTTTGCTCAATAAAAGTTTTGGAGCGGACCAATATATTCTACAGTAGCAACTGCAGCTTCAGCACAACGCCTGGTTGCAAAAGACCTGCTGCTCAAAGAATCAGGCCACTATTCTGCTGAGCAGCCAGGAGAGTGACTTGAGAGGTACTCAACATTGAAACACAGTCACCACCTCTGCTTGTACTGCACCCTCACAAAGCTAAGAGGGAAACAGGAGATTCAGTACTTCTCTCAGCAGCACAAACACTATACTACAGTCAGGCAAATTACTGATTTAGGGCAGACCTGAAAAACAGACACCATATGAAACCCTTGACCTGAAAGTCATCATATACTTTGTGATATCTGCAACCTCAACAAGACCTCATTTCTAATGCGACCACTTAATATTACCTTTATTGAACCCACAGATGTGATTCTGGAGAAGGCCTAGTTATGAAAGAAAATTATTATTATAAGGAAAGACATTAAGATTACACAGATAACACGAGGACTGGAACACTGAAGTCAATCACCAACCATGTATTATCATGTTCAAACCCATTTGTTTGGAGCAATCTACTGTAAACTTCTGGTCTTGTTTTTGCTTTCAAAGTGAGTCATTCTGCAAATGTATACACTCTTAATATTTTGCAAGCGGTTTAATTAGCCTGCCGCATTACCTTGGAGACAGTCCACCATGGGAACAGTTGGTAGGTGAAGTTAAGGGGCTGGTTCTGCTGCTGGAGTGCCGGGAAGGAGTCCGACCAAGGGTATTGCTGGGGGAACCCTGGCACAGAAGCAAGAAGACAGAGATTAGCAATGTGTTGCAATGTACAGGCAGAAGTACACAAAAATACAGGTCCAAATATTGCCTTTGTTTGCGCGAGACAAGCTTAATGCAGGTTTGGTTCTGGCTCTTGACCTAAAAATCTGGAGCCATGGCTCATGTAGTCATTAATATGTTCTTTAAGGTACTGCTCTGAGGATAAAGAAAGCACACGTGCACTTTTCTACAATCCACAGTACCTGCAATTTTAACTGCGCAACACATATGGCCTGCAAATACTGACAGAGAAATGGTTTACCAATCCACCAGGCTACCCAGCTTCTCAGACAGGATTTGACAGGCTCCAAAGTATGCAGACCATTACTCTAGCAATTTAGCAATTTAATTATGCAGCTATTTTCCACATTGTCTAAAACATTCTGACTGTGCTTGTTATGAGCATAAGTAAGCAATCTAACTTATCATTTTTCCACTGGCCTGCACAGTCATTTATACCACAGCAAAATGAGTAGAAATTGCTCCCAATTCTGACTGTCTTCACACCAAGTTGAAGGTACTAGAGAATCCAGTCCATTTGCCTGGAAGCCTAATGCTGCAGTTCTAGCTTACACAAAGGTCTACTTGTCCCTGTGGAAGTGCAAATACAGGAGGGCTCAAATTCCAACAAGTTTCACAAGATTTCCACATTAAAAAGACAAAAAATACCCTAATAGTTGCTGCTCTGGGGGAAAAAAGTTTAGAAGCACACAAATCCTCTAACAACATACTGCTTCAGAGAAATAAAAATATGTAAGACCTTCAGGTAAAACCGAAAGCTAAGGTAATAGGAGTAGACTGAGGAGACCTTGTAGGTCACGTCAAAGATCCTGCAAGCCTCTTAGTAGACAATATATCTGTTACTAAACTGATTTCAATCGTAGTGGTAAGCCCAGAAAATCTGTGGTATCAGGATCTGTGTTTTAGACAAAAGGTCATTACTGGCAAGATTTTCAAAAGCACCACCAACTTGAAAGAACAAACCCCACCAACTTTCATGCTCTTCTCAGTAACAGTTCTTTTTTAATCTGTACTGGTTGTGACTATATTAAAAATAACTGGTTTTTGTTTTAATGGTCCCTATAAAAGCAACATCAAACAGAAGCCTCTGCTGCCATATTGCTTCAAGACAACAGTTACAGATAATTCATGCTACTGAACATCTGCAACAGCTTATCAATGGTCTGCTGTCTTGCGAGCTCTTCTGTTTGCAACGACAGGGGCCACTCACCACACTGGTGTTACTGGAGTTCTTGAGGTGGTTGTGCAGGAGCTTGGTAGCACCATCCTGGAATGTTTTTGGCAAGGCACCAAGTAACATGGTAAACTCCGGAGTGTTCAATTCAAAGAGAGAAATCAGGACTATTTGTGCTGCCTGAAAAGAAGAACAAGGAAAAGACCATCAGTTTTTATTCTTTGAGAAGAGTACGCGTTCTGTTTGTTGGTAAAGATCCTTACAGTACACGATATGTGCTTCATTCAAAAGGACAACTCACACACTAGACAAGTTTTTGATACATTCCTTGTGATACATCATACGGAATTGCTAACTGCTACAGTTAACTTTTTAGTTCTTAGAGCTTATAATGTACTTTTGCATTTATATCATCATTAACTTCTCAGATGTGAAGCGTACAGCTATTCACAGCTAGTGAGAAAATCTTACAATCTTCCTGTCCAGCACATATTTCCATCAAACATGTTACTGCAAAAATTTACAGGAAACAAATAAAACCAAAAGCTCAGATAAGTATGAAGAATCTAGGACTGTGATTTGTCATTCCCATGCTTTCTATTTTAAGTGCAAACGGGACTAGTTCTCTTCCCACCCAACCTCTCCTCTTCCTAAGGATCTGACAAGTTCATTTAATCAGTCAATCCCTGCTTCTGTTTTCCCACCTCTCCTTGCAAGTCTCACCACTGAGGCTGTTTCAGCAACAGAAGACTCCATCTCACATGGAAGATCTACTGGGATGATGAGAGCCACCTCTCTCTCATCCGTGGACAGGCTAAACCTCACTGGGATGATGAGAGCCACCTCTCTCTCATCCGTGGACAGGCTAAACCTCACCAGATTCCCTAAATTTAATAAGTGAAACCAGGGTACCACTGAAACAAACAAGAAATTTACCATTAATTTCACTGGACGGGGTTTGCCCTATCTGCCAGAACAGGATCCCCCCTAATTCCACTAGCAAACATACACCACTGTATATTCTGCTGAACTAAAACAATGGAATCAAATGGGAATGGAAGCAGAATAAATCACATAGTGCAGGTCTGCAAGAGTAATTAACGTCACATGTTCCTAACTAGAATTCACCAGCAGCAAAAACCTTGTGTGGACTGCACTAATAATTTTTTTCCCCTGCCTTTGCCTTGAAAACATACAAAAATATAAAAACTGATTAAAAGAACAACAAAAATGAAGCAATGATGAAGGACCTCTGGTGGTGTGCAGCACCACCTTCTCCTATGGGGGTGTAGCCATTGATACACCAACCTTCCAAACACATATCTGGATACAAAGCAGTGGCTTAGGCTCACAAAGTAAGAAGCAAAGCTACACATGCTCTTATTTTGGGACAGCACACATACAGACTTAGGAGGAGCAGACACTTGTGTTTGCCCCTTTCGGAAACTTTCTAGAACTTCCTAAAAACGTAAAAGAACTTTAAAGTGGGTAAAAAATTATAATTCACTGCTGTGGCAATAACTGTACATTCATTGTTCTCAAATTCAAAGGAGGAGTTCTTAGTAATGTGTTTGTAAAGTTGCAATAATTAAGGATATCTACAGTTCCCTCTGAAGTGGAATCCTTTAGCAGATAACAAACTTGGGTACAAAAAAATCCTTTCATAGTGGAAGGGAATGAATGTTTCAGTGTGCAAACTTCAATTCAAGCTATACTGTTCCTTCTGCTCATCAGCCCCAATTTGCAGTAACACAGCTTTACAAATAAACACAATTTCCATCCATGAAAGTTTGGTAAGTAACATTCTTTTCATACGACCAGCGAAAAAACTGAGGCACACAACACTCAATGGGTTTCCAAGGACTGCAGCAAACAACAGGTCTTCAGACTCTTCATTCCAGATGGATTATGTTACCTCCTGCCAAATCTCTGACTTGAACATAAACACAGTATGTCATTACTCACTTCACATTAAAGATCTAAGGATGAAAGAAGCGAGGAGATATTTTTCCCCGTGCCTTTCTTAACTCCATACTCTACCCTCCTCTGACCTGAAGTTTTGGGCAACTCTGCCATGAAGCCTGCCTGGTATCCAACAAGGACGTGTATTTCTGTCCATTTTGATCCAAGAACTTTTAAGTTTTCACCAGCATAGTATTTTCTGTAATAAAAATATTACTGCAAACAAGAAATCTCAGAAAAACAACCAGCATGTTGAGATGAATGCAAAGTGACAAGTCATGCCAAAGCTCACTCCCGTTTGTGAATGGCATGCACATCCCGGGTGGTTAGGAAGTGGACATGCAGATCTTCTGTGTCAGAACAAGCAGATCTCATTCATTGAGATGATAAAAAAAAAAAAAAAAAAAAGGAAAATTGATCAACACGGTTTCCAGGTTGAGAGATTGCTCAGAGATTAGAATATCTGGAGATATCAACTGGTAAGTCAGGAGCTGCCCAAGGTACAATGATGTGGGGAAGAATTTCATATACCTTTGTCCCACACATCTCCCATTGATGGGTTAGAAATAAGGCCATCCTTGGAGACCACTTAAGTAAATAGAGCAAAACACACGCAAGAGCACACACACTCTGGAAGTACCTTTCTTATGTACTAGAGGGGTTTAAGATGCATCTCATAGACCTGAACAAAATCTTCACCGAAGCTCCTCCAGGGACTTTGTGACCCTGTGGCTTCACTTTGAAGCAGAGTTATCTAATTGGTACACTTTAACCCAGACACACAAACACTGATAGCACAGACATTGCACTAGAGTGTATCTGAAGTATCTGAAGGAAGTTGCAGCTCCCAGAAGTCACTTCCATTTTGTTGTTTTGTCTTTAATGAAAGCAGGACTGCATCCCCCCTCTCTCTTTGCACAAAACACATCTTGTTTACAGGAGTGTTTGCCAGTATTCTGTGTACACAGTGCTCTTCAGTAGCTTTGCTGTTGCCTGCAAATAGGTCATCAGGCTTTGAATGGAGCACTGAGCAGTCACTCACAATGCCTACAATCTTATGTGGCCTGAAAGAAAGCAGACCTATAGTATACGCTTTTTGAAATAAAGCCAAGTACCACTACAGCCTGGGAGTGGTGCTCCAGTAAAGCTCAAAAGCACCACTAGAGCTACACGGGGTTAACCTTAGCTGCGTTCTTTTTAAATAGTCCTCAGCCATTCAGCTGCACTTCTAGGCTTATTTCAGGCAAAAGCCATTCTTTGAAAGCTCAGCCATGATTTCCTATTTAAGATTTAACAGACAAAGCTCTTGGTCCCTGCTACCATAAAGTCAAGAACACTGTTACCACTGACCTCAAAAGCTGGAAGGTCCATTGAAATCATATTTATAACATGCTCCAAGTTTTACTCTTGCAATACCCCCTACTTCTAATACAGTTAATTTTACTTCAGTAATGAAGAGCACCAGGAGCAGCATTTCTACACTTTTCTAATAATAGTTAGATCTGCATACACTTGATAATCCTCTAAATTTAATTTATCCAGCACACATGTATCTAGTCAAAGGACATCTTTTACAGATAATGTTTCTAATACTTTTAAATCTGTTGATATTCAGCTTGTGACAAACCAGAGGACATTTTCATAATCTCAGAGTCATTGGTCATTTCTGAAAATCTTGGCCCTTGCTTCATTAGATTACTCAAGTAGATAAATTCAAAGCAAGCAATAAAAACTTATTTCTGTACACAATGTACAAACATTCTCCATGCGACACTCATGCTTGATGATATATAGTTTGAAGGAGGAGTAATATCTTAACTTTCCCTTGCCTTTGTGTCCCTGTGCCATTAGTGTGGAACACTAATCCATCTCCTTTCAGTGACATATAACGTAGACCTCACAGATTATCTAATCTTAATGAAGCAGTTCTCTGCTGGCTTGATCTGGAGAAACTCCAGTGACTTCAAAGACTGAATATGCTAGTGAGGGGGGGTCTGGCTCCACATCAGGTTCTTGAATCACTTGCAAATGATCACTTATGTAATTTCATTATTTTCCTTATAACAATGCAGTGAGGGATCAGGTTCCACAAGTCAATAGCAGCTCCCGAAGTTTCACCCTTCGGTCAATCCAATTCATGCTGCCCAACGGTGTTAGCTGCTAAAGGGACACAAATGCTTTATCATCTTTTTTGTTTTCACTAGACAGTGGGTGTTGGTCAGATTTATCAAAATCAGTAACCTCTGCAACTTGGCTGAATTGTAAGTCTCTTTGAAATGGTTTGGGTTCATTAAGCAAAAAGGTCAAGGCCAACTGGAAAAATCCATTTATTTTTAGAGAGGAAATGTGGACAGGTACCTAAGCTTAATACAAGCACCTGCCTTATGACTGCTGCTGTCACTGGTCCAATAGATCAAGATGGTTGTCTGAACTATAGGAAAGCAGCTTTCAAGCTACTCAAACTTCTGTTGGTGATGGGCTCATGACACTGGCAGCCCCATAAAAGAAGAGGACCTCATACCATCATTGCTTATGAGGGACTACAACAAGAGTTAACAGAAAAGCACACTAAAGCCAAAAATTACTTCACAGACAGACACACTTTTTTCAGGCTCCCAGTCAAGTTCTCTTAACACAACTAGACAGTTGAGTTGAGACTGCAAACACGATTAGTGTGATTAGTGCACAAGGCTTTTAGTCTACCTGTTTACATTTCTCTTCCAAGTTTCCTTCACCGGGCCCTGAGGAAGCTGTAGTTGTCCTAGCTGGCAAATCCTCACCCACCCAACTATGCATGGTCTGGGTTTGACAAACAAAAAGTTGATATTACTTAGACAACGCATAGATTTCAACTACATCATCTAAACAGTACACATGCTATCTTCTTGCAGAAGGTTTATTCAATTGCTTGCTTAATTTCAAGTAACAAAAAGCCTTAAAAATTGATTTAACCAGCAGAGCATTCCTTTCAGCAGAGGGCAGCACTGTCTCAAAATTAAATTCAGCCACAACTCTCAGGCTTTCGGATCATCTCTTAGTTCTCCTACAAGGCTTTGCTTTGGCAACCTCCCAATGGCCTCTAGAACCACTTGAAAACCTCTGCTGAGGTGCAGAGCCTAGGCAATGCTGCACTGAGGTGGCACTCACATCTGGCCTGCCAGGAGCAGGGGAACAGCTGCTTGCATCTGTCCGCACCTATCATCGCAGACATCTCTAAG